GTGTGTAAGTGCACTCTGTGATGTTCACACAATGATGAACTTGTGAGTAGATTGGATTGACACTTTTGAGAAGCGTGACTGTAATTGTTCTGATCTACGTGTGCAGAGGCATATTGTACGCAGTCATTTGCCACTCACTGTTTTCACTTGATCTATTTTGTATCTTTTTGTATTAGTGAATATACAGGGTGGCCATAAAGTTTGTGTGCACTTTATGGCTGAAAGGTTCTGGACCCAAGGATACAATCATTCCAAGACCCGAGACAAAAGGAAAATGGAGATCCAATTCATGCAATTGAAGTGGCTTTTATTCTACCCAGAGTGCAGATAGGGTGAGATTCCTGACCAGGGAGAAATCCACACGTGGGCTAACGGCAGACAGGGATTTAAAGGGTTACGGTCACCAGGATTGGTGGCATTGCTATTTCCTGGGAGGGACAAGAGTGTAACCCTGCCTGGGTAGGGCAAGTTTATTTGGGCAGGTACCTGATTCTTTCAATGGCCACCCTGTATTTCCCCCTATTCTTCTTAATGAATGCAGTATCGCATAATATAGATAATACTATCAAAGGTCCAGTAGTGGGTTTTAATTGAAAGATACCTGTATGGTTTCATTTTTCTTCCCCTAAGAAATGTTGCAGAAATCCTGAAAGTGGAGTCATTGGCTTCTAGGAGATGAGCACTTACAATTTTGACAGATCTTGCAAGATTGTCCCTCAAAGGTTAGTACTTTTTGATAGGGAAAGTCACTTCTTGAATTTGTGAGTTAGCAAGTCTGCCGAGACCCCCAAACATCAAATGGGCACCCAGGAGTTGATGTTTGTGGGCTCTTGCTGCAGCCCAGGTGCCAGCATTTCTGGAGCAGTGGCTGGGACTGGCGCCTTGCTCGGCCTGGCACTTTGGCCCCTGCCCGCCTCAATTCCTAGCCGAGCCCACGGGGCTCTCTTCGCTCCACTTTGAGTCTCAGCACCTGGAAAGTCCCCCCCCCCACCCCCCCGCCCGGTTTGTAGTCACCTGTTGATTGGGAGCCAAAGCACAAAGCCAGTCAGCCCCGTGAGCAGGAATTACCTGTTTCTCAGTCCACATCAGGTTGCCAGAACAGTCTGTGATTTTCCAGTTATTTCGCAGGGCCTCTCCCTGTGGGTGTGGCGGGTGCTGTCTGTAGGAAGAGAGAAAAGCAGATGCGCAGCTCCAGCTAGGCCGTGGAATTTAAGCGGCAAATTTAACACAAGAAAGAAAGCAGGTTGCAGGGGATCAGAGTGGGAGCGGATAGATTAGAGTCAGCAAATGTTTATTCTGTGCCCACCCTGTGCCAATTTAATGCGCCAGGGTACAAAGCGTGTGCGTGCGGGACCGAGGGCCGCGGGCACCCAGGAAGGCCTTGGTCAGCTGTCCCAGGGGTGGCTGGGAACCCTGTCTCCGGGTCTGTCCCCTGCAGGGCAAGGTCTGTCCGTCAGAGCCGAAAGCTGCAGCGTGATGGGATCTAGACGGAGCAGGAGCGCCGAGCCCAGGCGCGGAGCACTGCCCGGGAAGTGACTCACCGGCCTGTGGAGTCTGAGTCGCCAGCGGGGTCAGGCTCCCTGCGGTGTCCTGACCTCGGTAGCCGGGACTCAGAACTAGACAGACGAGAATGCCAGTTACAGATAGTGGGGTAATAAAAGTGCCGGACAGCCCTGGCCCAGGAGCTGCGGGTCTGACGGACCGTTTTTTTTTTTCACATTTTTATTATCTCTCTCTAATCTTTTGAATCATTTTATAAATAATTTATAGAAGTAAGAATAGTAACCTTATTAGAAATTATAAGAATTTAGATGTAGCAACCCCCAATTTTATTCCATATTTTTCTAGATTTGGAGATACATGTATATTTGCTTATTTTTATTCGAATTCAGCTAACTGTTCATGTGTGAACCTGGAGCGCATCCAACTTGTGAATGACTGACACCAGATTGCGAATGCGTTTCTGTTGGTTTCTAGCTTGGCATTACCTCTGGTTCTTGCACTTGAATTGTTAAAATGCAATAATTTAAAAAACTCTGATGGCTTATCATGTCTTTAACGAGATTTGACCATCTTTGTTCCATATTGCAAAACATTTAATTTTTAGTTATAAATGTCAATTCAAATGACCAGTCTGGGAGTCTTGTTCCATTCACTTGTGTTTGGCATTTGTCTGCTTATGAACTGGATTAAGTAAATTTTGGTGCATAAACATTGTAAGAGATGAAGAATAATGTCACGTCTTTTTAGCAAAACAGAGTAATTTGGGTTCTTGCAAAATATGTGTGATACAGTTCTGCCTGTTGAACAAGAGACTAGATGAGAGCAAATTTTGGTTTTCTACTGTTATGTGAGAATATTAGGTCCCCGCAATATATCATTGTATAAGAAAAATGAACTGCTGTAGTAAACCAAAAAACTGACGACAACAACAACAACAACAACATAAAACCAGAGGTAACCATGTGCTCTTGTGGAGATCACATTAAACTCATGTACTTGTATACATGCTGCAAAAATGTAGAAAATGTTGATAGATGAAAAAAAAAGAAGGACCCACGATTTTGCAATGCAGGTTAGTTTTCCAGGGTGCGTTCTCCCTGGCTTGTGCTCTATACATATATAAAAGTTCACATTTTACTCAAAAGTGTGGTAAGACTTGATTATTTTAACAGAACTATTCATTTGTAAATACCTTTTTTTTGAGACAGAGCCTCAAGCTGTCCCCCTGGGTAGAGTGCTGTGGCTTCACTGCTCACAGCAACCTCCAACTCCTGGGCTCAAGCAAGTCTCCTGCCTCTGCCCCCCAAGTAGCTGGGACCACAGGCGCCCGCCACAACGCCAGGCTATTTTTTGGTTGCAGCCATCATTGTTGTTTGGGTGGGTCTGGGCTGGATTTGAACCCGCCACCTTAGGTGCATTTGGCTGGCGCCTTAGCCACTTGAGCCACAGGCGCTGAGCTGTAAATACCTTTTCATGTCACTAAATAGCATTTGTTTTTAATGGTTTCATGATATAATTGGAATCTATTTTATCAGAGTTTAAAATTGGGCAAGGGTATCCAGCACCTAACATATGTCAGGTGACACGAACATACATCACTTTGGTTTAGCATGCAGAGGGCCTTACCTTGGAAGCTTGTTAATAGTTCGGGTTCTTGGCCTACATATTCAGAGATTTTAATTCTGGAGGTCATGAGCCTGCATTTTACTAACTCTCACAAATTGGGGGCTATGAAGTAGATGGTGCCCAGAGCTCATTGTGAGAATCCTTGGTATGACTTATAGACTAGTACTTTATAAGGTCACAAGTCCCTTGTCTGTGCCATAGAGGTCTTGAGAGTTAGATTCCCCTCAAGGTAAGGAAGTTAAAGGCTATACCCAAGCTTTAAAAGAATGAACCAGAGGTGGTGTGGGGGACTGCTTGGGTCAGAGCTGAGGGAAATATTCCAGATCTAAAGGCAAGGGGCATGTTTGGAACTCAGAGATGAAACTGAAGGTTAGCAGACAGGAGGAACTGGACAGAATGGAGCAGAGACGAGGGTCCCAGGCATGTTGTTGATCACCATCAGTGGGGCTGTTGGGTTCTTGGTCCATGAGCAGGTCAGCTTGGCTGAGAGGTGTGGACATAGCACAGGTCCGTGTCACATATGACCTGTGTGCCAGACTGAAGAAATCACCCCCACACTAAATCCATGGCCCATAGAAGTTCCAAATTTTTCTGGATGATCTTGGTGGGTCCCCATGGCTCTCATCGTCTAGGTTCCCTCTTTCCAGAATAGGTTTCTGCCTCTTTAAACAAGATAATTCTTTTAGATGTACACACACACTCTCCACACATAAACATCTCTCTCTCTCTCTCTCTCTCTCTCTCTCTCTGTGTATTTTAAAGACTTGGGGGTCCTGGGCAGGGTCACATCATGCCTCACACAGCCTGCCACCACCTGTGGTCACCTCCCCATTTTTTCCCCTTCCTTCTTGGAGCAACCCAGATTCCTCTGTGCCCAGAGCTAGCAGTCTATCAGTCATCTTTTACTTGTGTGTATCCTCTGAGTCTCACCCTCCACCTTGAATTCATGTTAAGACATTTTTCTTGGCAGTCCCATTCCAAAGAAGAGATAATTTGTTATTTAAAAAAATTCCTTCCTTTCTTAGGTGCTTGCCTGAGCCTGTAGCTGTGGCAGGGGTGGGGTGGGGAGTGGCTAGTGTTTCTGGCTCCATGGTTACTTCTCAGCAAGCTGCAGGCTGGACTTGGCAGCCGGTTCTCAGGGTGCACTTTTGGTCATTACCAATAAATGGCCATCTGTTAGCTTTGCACAGGTCCACCAACAGTAGGTCTTGAGTTTTATACAGTTCCTGTCTTGGTCTTCTCACACAGGATTGATAATCTCTCTGTGTCTCTGTCTGTTAGTCTGTCTCTCATTTTTCTCAGCATGGTGGCTGGCAGGAGGACTCCCCTGGGTAATGATTTTTAAAACTCTTGCTCTCCAGAGCTGGCTGCGATCATGTACAGAATCATAGATGCTCAGATAAGCATACAGAACTTGTAGTAGGCTCTGCTCTTCCTGCCTAGGTGATTTTACAGACAAAAACCATGTTTTAATACCCATTTATTCACGTGATTTAATATTTCTGAGCTCCAGATGTGTCTTAAAATTGAAGGGTGCATTAAATATAGTGTTCACAAAGTTCCTCCCCAAAGCCTCCTTTTAAATCAATGATGTCTCTTACAATATAGTGTCTTGGAGTAATGGAAATATGCTAGAACACCACCACCCATGCCCAAAGGATCTGGGTTTAGAGATGGTGCAGCACTTTTTGCCTTACAACATAAATTACAGATGTACAAAAGAAAGGGATATTTTCCTGTCTACTTGAAATTCCAAAGAAGGAACCCCAGATATAACCCCTCAGGGTCGGCCTAAGGGCAGGGTAGTGAAGTGAGGTCCTTTTCCACTCCCTATTGCTTAAGGATGGGTCTGCTTGAGACGTTGCAGCTCGTTACCACAAGGTGGCGCGCAAGCCCCGAGCATGACATTCTAGGGCCCCGCACACCGAGAGCTGATCCTGTGGAGAGCATTAATGGGCACTGCGTGTGGTCTGGTGAAGACAGACTTTGTGCAGCACCTGGAGGAGGATTTGCACAACGGGAACAGGGAGAAAAGTTAGGAGTGAGCGTACAGATTTGCAAATATGCTGTATCTGCTTCATACAATACTGAATTATCACAGTTGGATATGTTTTTAGCTGTTTTGTTATGCTCCATTGACTTTTCTCTCTCATTTTTATTAACATTACTCCAACAATATTTTAATAACTTTAGTTGCTGATGGCTTAATATATAATAAAATAAGTCCTCTTACTGATGCTTTCCCCCAGATTTTCCTGGCTATGCTTGACTATATATCCTCCCAGATAAATTTTAGAATCTTTTTTTTTTTTGAGACGGAGTCTCAAGCTATCCCCCTGGGTAAAGTGCTGTGGCATCACAGCTCACAGCAACCTCCAACTCCTGGACTCAAGCGAGTCTCCTACCTCAGCCTCCCAAGTAGCTGGGACCACAGGCACCCGCCACTTTGCCTGGCTATTTTTTTGGTTGCAGCCATAATTGTTGTTTGGCGGGCCGGGCTGGATTCGAACCCGCCACCTTAGGTGTATGTGGCTGGCGCCTTAGCCACTTGAGCCACAGGTGCTGAGCTGGTATAATATTTTCTATAGAAGTATTATACATATTTTAATATTTTGAGATCACAATGAATGAAATGTATGTTCCTAACAAGTATTAATAAAATATAGCATTATTTAATTAATTGTGTTTTAATCACTAATACCTCATTTCCTTCACCAATTTTCATTACTGACTTTGTTTCATATTTTGAAAATAAAATTCATGTCACAAAACTAGAACTTTCTCATATATTCAAGTAAAGGAACAAACCTTCTTTAAGGGACTGATTGCTTCTGATAATCCCTCTTTTTTTTTGAATTTTGGATATTTAATCTATGCTGGATCATTCCTGACAGAGTAACAGTATGCTTTTTTAGCTACTATGTTTAAAAACTCTTTCTTTGCATCACATTCTCACATCTCTCTCTTCTCACCATTTCTTAATATACCTTCTTATCATTTATTGCCAAGCTTCTTAAAAGAGTTATCTATAGGTGGCGTCTGTGTCCCATATGCCGGAGGTGGTGGGTTCAAACCCAGCCCCAGCCAAAAACTGCAAAAAAAAAAAAAAAAAAAAGAGTTATCTATCAATGTCCCCACTTCTTTACCCTTCATTCCCTCTTTGATTCATGTCATTCTGTTATCCATATTGGCCACCATATCACATGGCTTTCTTGATGCTAAATACAGTGGTCACAATCCTCTCTTTGTGTGAGTTTTCAGCTTCAGTTAACACAACTGACTAATCTTTCCTTTGGAGACATTTTCTTTTCTTTCTTTCTTTCTTTTTTTTTTTTTTTTGCAGTTTTGGCCAGGGCTGGGCTCCAACCTGCTACCCCTGGCATATGGGGCTGGCACCCTACTCCTTGACCACAGGCACCACCCTGGAGACATTTTCTACTCTTAGATTCATGATATCCTGCTCTCCTGATTTTCTTTCTATATCTTTGACCCCATTATCTCATTTTTAAATTCTCATTTCTCCTCTTCTACCTAATCTTTAAATATTGGAGTTGCTTAGAATTTAGACATTCTTCTCACCCTAAGTTTTTACTTTCTCATTCATTCCTATAGCTTTATACCATCAATTAGCAGACAATAAATCAGATTTTTGTCTTTGAGTCAGATCTTTCTTCTGAGCTCCAGATCTGTATGTCTAACCACTTTGGTGACATCTTCTCTGTGGTATATCACAGTTAGTAGAAATTCAACACATGTAACTCTTGACTTTCTTCTGTTGCCTACTTATCAAATCTACTCCATCTTAGCAAATGGCACCACCATCCTTCCAGTTTCTTAAACCAGAGCTTGGGAGCTGTCTTTGATTCTTTCTTCTCATTTACCCCTCCAGCCTAGTCCATAATAAATCCTTTTATGTATAGCTACAAAATATATTATCAGTCCTTCCATTTCTTTTCTTCTCCATTGCTTGGACCCCACTCAAGCTGCCCTCATATTTAGCATGTGGTAGCCTTCTGATTGACCTCTTTGTTTTTCTTTTACCCCTTTACAATCTATTCTCGAACCAGGCATCAAATGAATTCAAAAGTTAAAAATATTGTAAATTAGATTTTGTTATCCCTTTTTAGTGAACTTTTAAGAACTCTTTAGTGGTTTCTAGTTACATTTGGGAGAAAAACTAAATTGCTAAAGACTTAAAACTTAGGCTGAAACAATAAAAATCCTTGAAGAAAGTGTAGGAAGACACTTGAAAATATTAGCCCGGGGAAGATTTTATGAAGAAGATGTCTGTGGCAATTGCAAACGGCAAAAATGAATGGACTTTATTAAACTGAATAGCTTCTGTACAGCTAAGGAGACCATAAGTAAGGCAAATAGACAACCATCAGCATGGGAAAAGATATTTGCGTATTATGAACCAGGCAAAGGCTTGATAACTAAGATCTACAGAGAACTCAAATTAATCAACAAAAAAGAGCCAACCATCCCATATAGCAATGAGCAAGAGACATAAATAGAACCTTCTCTAAAAAAGAGAGATGAATGGCTAACAAACACATATGAAAAAAAATGCTCATCATCTCTAATCATCAGAAAAATCCAAACAAAAACCACCCTGAGATAACACCTAATCCCAGTGAGAATGGCCCACATCACAAAGACTCAAAGCTGCAGGTTGTGGTATGGTTGTAGAGAGAAGGGAACACTTTTACACTACTGGTGGGACTGCAAACTAATACAACTTTTTGGGAAGGAAGTATGGAGAATCCTCAAAGAACTCAAATTCGACCTCCCATTTGATCCTGGAATCTCATTACTGGGTATCTACCCAGAAGAGAAAAAAACCTTTTATCCTAAGGACATATGCACTAGATTATTTATTGCAGCTCTATTTACGGTTGCCAAAATGTGGAAACAACTTAAATGTCCATGGAATGGATTGACAAGCTGTGGTATATGTATATCATGGAATACTATTTCAGCCATGAAAAGAGATGAAGGATTTACATCTTTTGTATTAACCTGGATTGAGGTGGAACACATTCTTTTCAGTAAAGCATCACAAGAATGGAGAAGCACGAATCCAATGTACTCAATTCTAAAATGAAGGCAATAGATGAACTAATACATGGTGGGATGGTAGGGGAATGAGGGAGTGGGGAGAGGGGAGGAGAGAGTTATTTGGGAGGTCAAGATGTATGACACACCTCTTGGGGGCAGGACACAATTATAAGAGGGATTTTATCTAACAAATAGGATAAGAGTGTAACCTAACTCTTTGTACCCTCAATGAATCCCAAAGGATGAAAAAAAATCTAAATTGCTTAACATGGTCTCAAAGGCTCTGCATGATTTAGTCTCTGCCAGGCACTCCACCTTCATCTCCTGCCTTCTTCATGGCATTCTTCCAGTTCTTTGAAAACATGAACCTATTTTCTGACTGAGGGACTTAATTCATACTCCTTTTTTTTTTTTTTGAGACAGAGTCTCACTATGTCACCCATGGTAGTGTGCCATGGTGTCACAGCTCACAGCAACCTCAAACTCTTGGGCTTAAGGGATTCTCTTGCCTCAACCTCCCAAGTAGCTTGGATTATAGATGCCTGTCACAAGGCCTGGCTATTCTTGTTGTAGTTGTCATTGTTGTTTGGCAGGCCTGGGCTAGATTTGAACCCACCAGCTCTGTTGTATGTGGCTGGTGCCCTAGATGTTGAGCTATAGGCACCGAGCCAATACTCTTCTTTTTTACTGGAACACTCTTTTTACTCTTAACTCTAATAATTTCTACACATCCTTCAAGTCTTGACTTAAATGTCACTTCCTTGAAGACCCTTCACTGACTTTCCAACAGAATAAAACACTCATCATTGTTTTTTAACTATGTATTATCATACCTCTTGGTTTATTGTCTGTTAAGTTTTTTGAAGGCAGGAACTATGTGTATTTTGCTTGCTAGTCTTCCAAGAGCCTACAAAGATACCTGGTACATATTTGATGGTAAGTAGATATTGGCTGAATGAAGAAATGAATGAGTATGTGCCAGGAATAGTGCCAGGTGCTACAGATACAAAGAAAAAATATAACAGAGATGGTCTCTGCCTTCACATGAGTCAACAGGCAATTATGACACAGTGTGATAGTGCCCACATAGTGTGCCCACAGTGGTGAAGTGGGATCCTACAAGACAGACACCTGGACAAGATCACTCTGGCTGTGGTTAGGGAAGTGCCTGTAGGTAGTGGTGACAGGGAGGAGCAAGAATAGAGTGGGGAAGACCAATTAGGAGGCTATTGTAGTAATTCACACCAGGGGGCGGTGGTTAAGGAGACAAGTGGGCAAATCTGAGAGACATTTGTTTTATAAGTCAGAGAATGTGGTGATGTGAGATGTAGACTAGGTGGGGGTGTCAAGGCTGGTGCCATTCTTGGCTTAGACGAATGAGCAGATAGTGCTGCTATATGTGGTGAGATACAGGATGTAGAAGGAGGACAATGTTTGAGGGACAGGTCTTTTTTTGTCTCTTTTTTGCATAGGTTGAATTCGAGATGCTTGTGCTATATCTAATGGAGATACTCAGTGGGTCTGAAGCTCAGGAGAGAGATCTGGCTGAGGAGGTGACTTTGAACCTAGGTGAGTCCTTCCAGAAAAATCAGCATAGAGAGAGTGATGCAGCAAGGAGAGTTGTAAACTTACTAGGGGAAATGCACGGAGTGAGAAGGGGATTTCAGAGAATATCAACCCCAAGGAAAGGACAGAGAAGAGCAACTTGAAATGGTCCTGAGAGGAAACAGCTGGAGAGGTAGGAGGGAAACCAGGAGAGGGTAGTGTCCCTGGTGCCAAGAAGACAGTAAGTCCTTGTTCCTCTTACCTCCAGGGCCATTCCAAACTCTTGTTTGGGAGGTGACTTGACTTTTGTCTTGTTGGGTCTTTGGCAGTCTCTGTTGCTCTTCACATGCTGATGGGACACACTGGTGATGCTGATGGTGCCCCTCAGAAGACAGGGAGTCATCTTGTTTTGCCAGCTGGAGTGCACCTGGAATGTGCAGAATACCCAACTTGTTTTATTTTCCTGAATTGCTGTCATCCCTTCTTTGTCCAAGTCCTAGAGGCAGATTACAGTGTAAAGGTCAGTCCTATTTGTAATTCATTTGTGAAATTTAGCGCTTTTAGTTCACCTTTCATTTCCAATGCTCTTACTATAATCCCTCAAAAGAAGAAGAAGAAACTGAACAGGCCCCTTTAGCCTGTAGCCACAAATGTGTCACACAGAGCTCAACTGGAGTGAAGACAGGGTGGCCTCTCCTTCTACATCTGAGATGTCCCCTGTGGACAGTACTGATGGTGGGGCTCCAGAAGGTTGTCTACACTAGACTGCCTGTTCCAGGAAGTAGGGAGCAGGTCTAGGATTCATTTACATCAAATTATCTTTTCCTTTGTACTTACTTTGTTATGACACATGTCATATTGTATATTAATTACTTGTTTTTTTCTTTTTTTTTTTCTGGGAACATGAGTTTTGCAATTTTAGTGTCAACCATATAGGAAAAAGAAGTTAATGAACATTTAAAGGGCTATATCTGCTAAAGGGAACAAGTTGGTTTGTGGATTTGTGGATCCTTCTTTATTGAGGGGGGGGTTAGTTCTAATTACTTGTTTCTTATGAAATTATTCTTTAGAAATTATTCTGTGAGAGCCAGGAGCATGTCTTTTCTATTTATTCCAGTGCCTAGAATATAGTAGTAGTTCAATAAGTGCTTGGTGAGTAGAAACATGAACAAATGAATGGTGCCTGGCTTGAGTGGTCTGTTGGATGAGATCTGTGCTTCCTATCTTTGTTGTCCTTTAGAATCACTGGGGGATCTATAGAGAAAAAATGATTCCAGGCCCCACCTCCAGAGTGGGTGATCCAGGAGGTCTGTGGTGGGATCCTAGACCCTGCATTAAAAAACTCCTGACTAATTTTGATGCAGCCTCAAGAACCACTGGCCACATGACCACTGAGCTTCTTTGCAGCTAGGAGGTTCTGTGATGGCAATAATAATAAATTCATCATTCATTCAGCAAGCATTTGCTAGCAAATATGTGTTCTGGGAATAGGAGATGAATAACAAACAGATTTTTCCTCAAGGATTCGAAATCTGGGGGAGGATTTATCTGGGTGCAGATTTATCTCAATATAGTCTCTTAATGGACACATAGCAGTGGCTGGGGACTAAGACAGGAATTGTTTTTCAGAGGTCACTCTTCTTGAAGATAATGGAGGTGTATTTGGAAAAGTTAGTCTTTGGATAAAGTCCATTAGGATTTCCTCCTCTCATTCTATTAAGAACTGACAGTATTAGAAATGTTATAGAATTCCCTAGAAAGCCAAAAATACATCTGCGCAATCTAATTGTCTATGTAAGAGTGCCAAGAAAGGCAAACATTTATAAAAGCAGTTTTTCTTGAAGGACTCACCTAGCTTGCCAAGAGAAATGGAGGACTCAGGCTTGAGAGCTCATGGACCACAGGGCTTGGGGATCCTGGTGCTTAAATGAGGGTGTTAATTGCACCCTTTAACCAGACTTTTTTTTTTTTTTTTTTCAGACAGAGCCTCAAGCTGTCCCCCTGGGTAGAGTGCTGTGGCATCACAGCTCACAGCAACCTCCAACTCCTGGGCTCAAGCGAGTCTCCTGCTTCTGCCTCCCAAGTAGCTGGGACCACAGGCGCCCGCCACAACGCCCGGCTATTTTTTGGTTGCAGCCATCATTGTTGTTTGGTGGGCCTGGGCTGGAATCGAACCCGCCACCTTAGGTGTATGTGGCTGGTGCCTTAGCTGCTTGAGCCACAGGCGCTGAGCCTTAACCAGACATTTTTTGCAAACAACGCCCTTGTTATATAATGGTCTGATTCATTGCCAAACAAACCCCTTTCCACCTTTTTCCTCTTCCAGCAGGAGCTTAAACTTAGCGTTTCCTTGAATGTCATTCCTGCTTTGTGTTTGCTGGGTGTCTACAGCCTGCCTTGAGTGACAGCTCCACCTCATGTCCACTGTACAGCCCCCAGCATGTGTTAATAGTGTGCTGATGTGTGCTCTCAAGAATAACGCTAGGGGCTCGGCGCCTATAGCTCAACCGGCTAGGGTGCCAGCCACGTACACCTAAGGTGGCGGGTTCGAATCCCCAGCCCAGACCTGCCAAACAACAATGACGGCTGCAACTAAAAAATAGCCGGGCGTTGTGGTGGGCGCCTGTGGTCCCAGCTACTTGGGAGGCGGAGGCAGGAGACTCGCTTGAGCCCAGGAGTTGGAGGTTGCTGTGAGCTGTGATGCCACGGCACTCTACCCAGGGGGACAGCTTGAGACTCTGTCTCAAAAAAAAAAAAGAATAACGCTAGGAACCAAGAGTGACCTCATCTCCTAAAAGTGAAACAGGTTGATTGTTAATCTGAATCGCTTTAGTCCTGAACAAGGTCTCTTCCACAATTTGTGACAGCACATGTTACTTGGGTATGTCAAGGTTAAAGAGCCCTATTACATCAGATGCTTGCTGCAGTGTGACGGGAAACACAGACATGGACCTGTCTTAACTACCACCAGGTCTGCCCTCAGGCTTTATAGCCCCTCTTCCTGTGTTCACATGCTGTCAAAGCATGAGGGGTCTGCACTGTGTCAGAGATATCAGCCTCTCTTTTCTGATGATCATAGGAGCAAAATGTTGAACCCCAGAGGCTCTGCGGGCTACAGAATTGGTGGTCTGCTGAAATTTTGCTGCTTTCATAGAATTCTGCCAACCCAGGATCTTTCTTATTTGATTCTATCACCTTAACTATCATAAGCCTAGAAGGATTTTTTAATTATTAAAAACCATGTTTAATTTCCCCAGCCTATATAAATTTTCTTTAATTCCTAAAGAAAGTGTGTATAGCTGGATGCATTTAAACAGAATCTTTTACAATAGCAATTATTTCCACTCACTTTTTTTGCAGTGATTTTGTAGATTCCTGTTAGAGGCAGCTAGTCCTACAATCTTATTAATGGCTATGACGTAAACAGTACTGGAGAAATCTCTAATAGCCTTGTGGCAAACTGATTGAAGAAATACAAAAATCAGATTAAGTGAATACAGGCAAATGTATTTTCTGGGAGCATGGAGGTTCTTTCTTTGCCAGTCATACTGATTTTGAGGACAGTCCCACAAGCTGTCTCCATTTCCTACTTGGGGACATGGAGGCCACGGGAGGCTGCTGTTTCCCAAAGTAACATAGGGCTGGCTCCTAAATGAAATGTTTTTATATCTAATTTGGTTTCTTTGTTTTTAAATCTCCTACATGATTTCCAATACTTTGTGTAACAAAGACATCTTGAGCTTTTTCCATGTGTCTGTAATAAAGCATGGAATGGCGATTCTATTCAGTTTCTCTCCTGATCATCTTCCTGGGCTCTCCAGGCAGCTTATTTTCACAGAATGTCCAACATATATTATTTATTTATGCAAAAACAAAAACAAAAACAGCCTTTGTTAGGAAGTTTTCCAGATATTTAGCTCAATACTATCTCATTTTTTAAAATTAAATCATAGCTGTGTACATTAATGCAGTCATGGGGTACAATGTGCTGGTTTTATATACAATTTGAAATGTTGATCAAGCTGGTTAACATAACCTTCATGGCATTTTCTTAGTTATTGTGTTAAGACCTTTATATTCTAGATTTAGTAAGTTTCACATGTACCCTTGTAAGATGCACCATTGGTGTGGAAGATAGACTCCACCCATCCTCCCCACTCCCTTTCCTCATATTCTTGGGCTATAATTGGGTTATAGCTTTCCTATGAAAGCTATAAATTAGTTTCATAGTAGGGCTGAGTACATTGGATACTTTTCTTCCATTCTTGAGATACTTTGCTAAGAAGAATATGTTCCAGCTCCATCCATGTAAACATGAAGGAGGTAAAGTCTCCATCTTTCTTTAAGGCTGCATAATATTCTATGGTGTACACATACCACAATTTATTGATCCATTCATGGGTTGATGGGCACTTGGCCTTCTTACATGACTTAGCAATTATGAATTGGGCTGCAGTAAACATTCTGGTACATATATCTTTGTTATAATGTAATTTTTGGTCTTCTGGATATATACCTAGTAGAGGAATTGCAGGATTGAATGGCAGGTCTATTTTTAGATCTCTAAGTGTTCTCCAAACACCTTTCCAAAAGGAACGTATTAGTTTACATTCCCACCAGCAGTGTAGAAGTGTTCCCTTTTCTTCACATCCATGCCAACTTCTCTGCTTTTGGGATTTTGTGATATGGGCTAATCTTACTGGAGTTAGATGATATCTCAATGTAGTTTTGATTTGCATTTCTCTGATGATTAATGATTATGAACATTTTTTCATGTGTCTATAGGCCGTGTGCCTGTCTTCTTCAGAGAAGTTTTTCATCAAGTCCCTTGTCCACTGTGAGATGGGATCACTTGTTCTTTTCTTTCTTTCTCTCTCTTTTTTTTTTTGTTCTTTTCTTTCTAATATGTTTGAGTCCTGTGTGGATTCTGGTTACTAAACCTTTGTCGGAGACATAACCTGCAAATATCTTCTCCCATTTGGAGGGCTGTCTGCTTGCCTTACTTACTGTGTTCTTGGCTGTGCAGAAGCTTTTAGTTTGATCAGGTCCCAGTAGTGTATTTTTGAGGCTGCTTCAATTGCCCGGGGACCTTCCTCATAAAATATTTCCCCAGGCTGATTTCTTCAAGAGTTTTCCCTGCACTTTCTTCTAGTATTTTTATAGTTCAATGTCTTATGTTTAAAGCTCTTTAATCCAGTGAGAGTCTATCTTAGTTAATGGTGAAAGGTGTGGGTCCAGTTTCAGTCTTCTACAGGTTGCCAGCCTGTTCACCCAGCACCATTTATTAAATAGGGAATCTTTTCCCCACTCAATGTTTTTAATTGACTTGTCAAAGATCAAATAATGGTAAGTAGCTGGGTTCAACTCTTGGTTATCTATTCTGTTCCATACATCTACCTTTCTGTTTTTGTGCCAGTACTATGCTGTTTTGATCACTATTAATTTATAGTATAGTCTGAGGTCTGGTAGCGTAATTCCTCTTGCTTTGTTTTTATT